AGCGGGACGTTTGAAACCAACTCGAGCTACTGCCGTGTAGCACGGCAAAGCTTCACGTGCTACACAGCCGTAGCACGACTCGGTTTCAAACGTTGCACTACTGCTGTGCTGAAGTCGAATTTAATTCGATCAATTTAGTTCGGCAAGCAGTAGCACGACGTTTGAAACAGGCCTAAGCTTGGTTGACATGAATGTGTTTGGAAGGCTTTCTTATTTTGTTCGATAAACAAGTGCAGGGAAAGGGAACTCAAAGGTGTATGTTCTTTAACAGCCAACTGCCTAAACGGGATACATGTACAGCAATTGTCAAAAAATTCAGATCCTTTAAAAGCACAGTATTAGCAGACTGGAGCACTCCTCTCTGTCATTTTAGTGCAGTCACTAGAACATTGATAGTTTAATCAAGTGGTTGAGTATTTGATTCCCCTGCCATCAGATATTCTTTCCCCTCATGGAGCCTGGGGATAATTTTTCTCATAACCAAGGATACCTCTGGCCACTTGTTGGACAAACTTTTTTCATCACTATGCAAATCTTCAGCTAAGAAATGATTACTTAGTTAACAAAGTCGTTTGGATCTTTCCTATTAAGAGGAGACTGTTCGCAGGGTAGGAAATGATAATCTTTGAGATTTGTCCAGTCTGGTCACTAGGGTGTCCAAATTAAATGTAGATTCTTTTTTGTTGGGCATGATGATTAAGTAACATTTATTTACAGCTCTGTCTTATACTAGTGCTACTGTATAGAGTTTGATGGAATTAGTTGTATCTACCATGGAGTTTGCAAAGGAATGATCAATACCTTTACACACATTAAATAGCCCTTCTAATAATTTTTGCTTGAGTTTTTCTACACATATACGTCACTGGTATGGAAGCCTTATTTTAAATATTTAACCTCAGAATCATTACTTAATGGTATGTCACATCTAGAGCATTTGAACCACCAACCTGGATTGAAGGGAAAAGGAATTTATGAGGGTTTTAGGTGGGGTTTTACCACTAGTTTCTTGGCACCTTTTTACCAAGATATGACAGACCAGGCACAAAATTCAGACTACAGAACCAATTTTTCATACTTCTGATCCGTTTTCCACAAATGAAACCCACCCTGTAGTGTTTATACCCTTTGTATGTTTCTATACCCTATTTTGGATAATGCGGTGAGAAACGCTTCCTCTTCACAGCAGCAAACACCTAAATAGTCCATATACGGTAGATCCTATAGGCTCTTCCAGACATTCAGAAAGTGACCAGAAACAGACAAACTTGGTGTAAAAGTGAAACAATGTTAAAAGATTGACTTCCATGTCTACAGTGATCTGAGTGTCAATTGCACAAGCACTATTTAGATTCTGTAGTGGAATTTCCTGTTGTAAATATGATGTGCTAAATGTTGTGATGGGTTTTTCATGCCCTTGTCTTTGTTTCATAGAAGTTATTTTATACCTGGGCTACCAATAAAAAAACTGTGATGTAGAGGTGCTTGTAATAGAAATCTTTGAGTTTTAATACTTAAATCTGGGATTTTTCACCAGTAGCTGCTAGTTAGGAGGATAATTAGTGGAGGTGGCCATCAGAGGTTAGACATAACTTTATAGGAATTGTAATGATAATAACTATCACCCTTGTTAACAAGCAGTGGTAGCTTTGTGCCTAGAAGTAACAAGTGGGGGAATGGTCCAAACCTCCTACCTCCCTGACATACAACTGTGTACCTTGTATTCCTGCCTCCTATTTTTTTGTTTGCCTTTTTTTCAGTTGCAAAATACTGAGCACTGTTACATGATTTACCTTATTCGCCCGCCTCCTACCCTTTTAGAACTCCACCTTCTCCCCCCCCCCCACACACACACACACACACTAACATTGCTAGAGAATCATTTTTCTAAACAAAATATTAAAAACAGCCAATGAGAGACTCTTGAAAAGCATGTTTAAATATATGTATTTCAGTGCTATATTCTGTCAATTTCTTTTGTTGTTCTCAGTTTATACTGACCAAGGAAATCTGTACGTCCATTTAACAAATAGATTTCATGATGCCATGTGTCATTTCAGTGATAGATCACAGATGACGTCAAAATGTGGTAAAAACCAAGAAGTGGCACACAAGCTTCAGAATTCTTTAAAAATTCAATATTGTTTTACTATAAATTCAAAATATTTTTACAGCAAGGAGCCCAAAAATTTGGCCGCTTTTTATTTCTTCATACTCTTTCGTACAGATTTAATCCAATAAGAAGCCAGCTGGAAACTGTCCTCGACTTCTGATTGGTTTATGTCTGCGTGAAAGAATGTGAGTTAATTAAAGGAGGTCACATTTTTTTGCTCCTTGCTGTAACAACCTTACCTCATCGTAAGCTTTCTTCTAAATTTTGGCCTATTTTTCGGCACAGTTTCAGGGTATAAATACTCCTTGAAAAGAAGATATTATCCATCGAGCAACATGTTTTGCGTATTCTTGCTTTCCTTCCGTTCAGTTTTAGTCAGAAATTCAGCTATTTCGTCTTCGGATAGCCGTGAACGCCATTTTTTTAGTTGAATAAACAGCTGGGCCGCGCCTTGAAAGCTGCCAGGAAACGAGGCTGATCGATGGTCTATTTCCCATGCAACCATAGATGAACCTCATTTCTAAGTCAATATACCATTGAATCGATAGTATGCTGCTCCCATCTTCCAAATTTGATCAACGCCAGTTGGTTATGAAGAAATTGCCCGGGCCGGGGACTTTGAGCCAATCAGATACGGGGAAATATTTTGAATGTTTCACGTACATTTCATGGGGGTTACGAATGCCATTTTTATACCAGGGGTTTCTTCTATAGGGCAGGGGTCTCTCTTTATTCCCTCAATTCTGATTGGCTTAAAGCACATGCATAATTCACCACAACCAGTTACTGATGACCAAATTTGGAAGTAGTTTGTGTTTAACGAGGAAATGACGTCAGAAATGCAGCTTTCTATAGGTTAATGCGCCGTTGACCGAAGAGACCTGGGGACGAGATTGAGTTGTTTTCGTTGTGAAAACTAAAATAGCGGACACTTCACTCGTTGCAAGAGTAAGAACTACAGCTGGAACTAGGCGAAATAATGGCTAAAAGCATAGCAAAAACAGCAAGAAGACAACTCGGAGTGCGACAACTGCTATTTTAAAAAATCTTTGCGGCGCTGGACAAACCTAAACGTAAACTATCGAAGATAAACTTAACATCGATGCAGGTAAGCTTGTTTTAGCTATGTTTTTAAACTAGGAATTATTTTGAATGAATAATAAAACAATTATTGAATTCGGCTTTCGCATCATATGAAGAATTATGGAGATCTCGGAGGGTGTTATCCGCCTCGGCCTACGGCCTCGACGGATAACACCCTCCTCGATCTCCATAATTCTCCATAAGATACTTAAAACTCAGACTCATTCATTAATTGTTAAATAAACTATCAATAAAACAATAAAAGCAGTAGGTTACCTATTAAGCGGTCACCCTCTATTAATTAAGCAGCAAGTAATCAAAGTCCTAAAATAATTGTCAAAAAAGAAAAGAATGGGAAACAGAGCTCTATTAAGCTGCCCGCGGCCACCTTTTGGCCGACCCGATGAGAATTTTCCCTTTATTGTCACCCCTAATAAGCGGCCTTTAAGCGCTTGATACAGTTCACCCTACGGAGTTTAGCTTCATTGTAAGAATATGATGAAGGACTGGGAAAATACAGTCCGAGATAGAATTTGACGACCGAATTATTATGTAGACCAGTAATGCTTCTTCTTCTTTCACATGTATGTGTCTGCTCAATTTAAAGATTACACTAATTTATTACGAACCTCTAATGAGCGGCCAACCTCCATAAAGTGGCCACTTGCCGGCATCTCTAGTGTGGCCGCCTAATGGAGGTTTAGCCTCTGAGCAAGCTCTCTATTTGAGAGATATCGTGAAAAGTGGACGAGCGAGAGGAGACGCGAAGGCGGGGGACGGCCCCTCGCGGCTTCGCCGGTCTCACGCGCGGCTCGCTTCGCTCGCCCAAATAGGAGAGCTTGCTCGCAGGCTTATGGAGGTTTAACTATTGGTTCTACGTCATACATGTATGCAAAACATCTCTGTGTTGGGAGGTCACACTTTTTGGTATATCTGTCTTCCGTCACGTGACTACTACAACGTGAGATTGCCTTATGCGAAGTTTCTTTCAGTGACCTGGGAAGTAAATACACGAAGACGAATTATTATTATTTTTTTACTTTCTTTCTTTTTTTAAACCTGGGTGAGGTCCCCAAGAATTCAACTCCAAGGAAATTCGCCTTCATTTTGATATTAATGTTTTAATTGCAGTCACCGTCGGGGTAGATAAATCTCCCTTATGTGTCCTATTGAACTACATTAATTTGTAACTGGTGTTCTGTTAATTATGTTGTTAAATAAAAAGTGAATAATTTTGACCCTCAAAATAGCGAGACCCCGAAAGTGATGACCCCTTATTTTCCAACGACGGCTAATTTGGAAGTTAACAATGGCCGGTAAAGAGTTTACTTCTGAGTTTTATGAACAGTGACGACTTATACAGTAGAACCCCGGTAACTTGAACGCTGAAGGGAAACGAAATATCAAGTTTTCGGGGTTCTACTGTATATAATTTGGAGCAACAACAATTTGCTGTCTGTCCTCTTTGAATTATTAGGCTAGTGAGAATTTTTGCTCGGGAGTAAAACAATGCTAATTTAGATGAAACAAATATTGTCAGGAAAATTAAGAAGACTTAAAATGGAATTATGAATTATCCAACATTGTATACACGCAACTAGCTCGAAAATTGCTCATATTAGTTTTTCAGCTATTGTCGTTATGATGAAATGTCCCGGCTACGACAAATATTATACGCAAAAATGTCAGCTTTCAACATTTCTTTGACTTCCGCAGTACCACGCGCTTTGTGTTCATTCCATCAAAGCAGAAAAGTGGCTATCGTCTTCCGCTTGTGTTCCTATCAAACGCCGAGTCAGTTCTAATGTCGCTGTTTCGTTTCAAATATTGTATTTTTCTCCTTGTGATCTTTGGATGTGTAGCCGTATGGTTTTCACACGTTTTGATCAGCGTTCGTTATTCCCGCCGGAAAGGTAAGTACATGATGATTAGCTTGTGTGTGTAAGTGTTTTGTTTTTTGCTGATCTAATATATATATTAAAGTATACCATTTGTTACCTCACAGAAATCGCGCCAGAAGCCCTACCCGGTATGGTTTTCGTGGAGTTCGCGCAAAAGCTATCCTGCATAGTATGAACAAAGCGTAGTTCCTTCGATGCTTCGTGTGCACTACTAAAAAGGTGACAAATTTTAGAAAACCGCTTTACTTGGGAACAGATATATAGGGCTTTTATCATGTTTGTTATGGAAGCTCACGAGAAAATATCTTTACTGACGCGATCTGACAGAAAAAGTGTTTCATCTTGAAGTTTAACTAGGCTTAAACTTAAATGATTGACAAAGAAATTAAACTGTGCATTTTTCTCCGATAACGACAAGCAAAAATTTTAAATTTATGATGTTTTGGGTGGTCGTTGCAACATTTTGGTAAAATTACATATAAGTCTCTTGAGTAAACTCTCAAAGGCGGAATAATTTCATGGTGTTATATTTGCACAAGGATCTCCTAACTTCGGGAGGTTATCAAAATTTAATTTATTTCAAAAATTGACAGGCAGGTTGTATATGATGACTTTAACATTTTTCAAGACCAGCTTTTTGAATAATCCACCGTGTGTTAAAAAAAAGCTTTTGAACGCCGTTGCATTAGGACTGAACGTTCATTTACCTCCGGTGTAAGTATGGTAAATTGACATTACCAGCAAAGGACCGCCAACGAATAGGCGAAGAAAGTAGGATCTACAGAAGACCTGATCTGCAAAAAGGTACAAAGTAGACACATTGAATTCTGCAAAGCTGATCGTATACTACGTGAAAATTAACTTTGCCAGGCATAAACACGACCGTGACACCGAAAATGAAGGAAAAGTTGGCTCGTCCAGGAAAAATCGGGTAGTGGAGGGACCCTCGGCTTCTACCCGAGACAAGTTTTCTCCATACGAACGGGGCTTTAGGGCTGGTTTTACGCGAACGACAAATTGACTCAGGAAAACTAATTATAAACCGGTGCGACTGAATCATAAGTGCTCTTTGATAAAGCTAACATCTGCCCGGTTTACACGTGTAATGCAGCGGCACAAGGCACCAGCACAAGAAAATAGACATGATTTACATTTTTCGTGCTTTGTACTTGCGTAGTACGTGTGAACTAGACTTGTTGAAGGGGACCTGATGGTAACTGATTGAACGGGGAAAGGGTATTAGGTAACGAACGCGGGGACGGGAAAATGAAAAATAGAAATCATAACCTAACTTAGCTTAACTTAATAGTTAAAACCTAGCCTTATCCGTAACATGATTTTCCCCTTTGTCTGTTTTGTTCCAAAATATAAAAATCCAGCAAGTCCACAGCGACAAACCAATGAGTGGTGCCGGATCTCCCAGCTGTAGACTTGGATCAGTATTATAACAGCTTGAAGAAAATCATGAAACGGCAAACTGATCATCACGGCAAAAGGCGATGAAGAAGTAAAAAAGAAAAAAAATATATATATATATATATATATTTAAACAAAATGTATATTTTTTCATTTTATTCTTTTGTTTACTTCTTCATCCCCTTGTCGTAAGGATCAGTTTGCCGTTTCATGATTTTCTGTTTCGTTCCTATTTTTCCCTTTTCCGTTACTTGCTCTCGTTTCTCGTTTCTCGTTTCTCGTTCCCTGTTTTACAAACATCCATAGTCACAAACGGTTTCTTGTGGGTTGAAAGAGGGCCTCTACATTTCCTGTAGTTCCAGTGCCAATTAAACCTGATGTGCCATTTTTCCAATGTCAACTCCAGTTTTGTGCGTAATGACATTATTTTTCGCTATGTTGTTAAAAAATGCCTTGTAGCTACAGTTAGGAAAGATTTACCTGAGAGAAGAAAGCCGTTATACATTTACTGAGTTAGACAAAAATACAGCCCTTTCCCCGCTCCCCTTAAAATGTCCAATCGTCGATTGCGCAGGATTACTAATCTTAGGGCGCTGACGAACTGACCGGTTGGACCACACTGTATTTGAAAAACAAATATTAAAAAGGCTTTTAGTTCTTGCTGGATATTCCTGATAAATAGTGCAAATTTCAGTTCAAACACTAAAACTGGCGGCCAGTTCTAACGAATGTAAGTCCCCTTAGTTTTTATCCATAGTTGTCGGCGCGTTTGATTGACTGTATTCCGGAATATGAATAAATCGAATAATCCATGGAAATTATTTGTTTTCGCATTGATTGAATTGCGATTAACTGTATTCAAAAATCGACCAATGTGAGGAAAATTGACTTTTGTGGTACAAGTTCAAAATTCGATGTCGCTCATTTTTTGCTCCTCGATAACCCTTAATGAGTCATGAAACAGGCTGTAGAAAGTTTTTCTAAATTGGTTATTTGCACATCTCCCATTAATAATACCTTGTTTGCCGCTCAACATTTTGCAAAGCTTTTTTTTTCTTTTTTTTTTCTCCTGGGTATTTCAGACGTAAAAAAAACTAAATACAATGTTTATGAAATTTTTGGGCGGTAAACAAGGGGTATTATGGGAGATGTGCAAATGGCAAATGACGTGTTCTCTCGTTAAAATTTGAGAAAACTCGTTATAACGGTTCGGAGCTTTTTCTCACATTTCATCGAGTCGTGCGTCAAACTACAACGATTTGGCAGTCTTTGAACGACACATACAGCTTTTCCGACTTTTTTTCCTTATAAAATGATAGATTTGTCTTCTCTTTTTCCAATGTGGCGGCAGAAAATTGGAAAACGAGAAGACCCTGCTGGGGACGAGGTTAAAAATCATAAGAATAAAGTAATGCAAATTTAAACCATGCGCTATAACTTAGAATTTGCAAATTGACTTTCTATGGATTAATTGGAGACCAATCTATCAGAAAATCAAAAGGAATTTCTAGGAAAACTGGAACGATTTTAAATCCAGTGGTGTGTAAGATCCCGAATTCAACCCTAACTTTGCCAAAAATCGCGACATCCACAGCTAACCTTACACTCTTTGATTTACATCCACAGATTCAACATTGTTAAGCCAAAGACTAGCTGAACGAAGGCATATTCTCCGACATCAGTGTGCAAAGAAACCACCAGATCCAAACTTTTTAGAAAATGCTGATTTTACTCGTTTCATCGTTATTGAAGATCTAAAGCTTGTGTTCTGCTTCATCCCCAAAATTTCCTGCACGACTTGGAAACGAGTTCTGTATGAGGCCAAAAACAACGGCACTAAACTTCGTGGAAATCCGCATGATAAAAAGCATTTTTCAAGGCTTGATGATTATTTGCCAGCAGAAAGAAAAGCAATTCTTGACACCTATTTCAAGGCCATGTTCGTTCGAGAGCCTTTCGCCCGTTTGCTGTCAGCCTTCAGGAACAAGGTAGAGGCAAGAACAATTTTTGATGCTAGGCTTCAAACTTTTGCCACAAACGCGACATCAAAGGAAATGGAAAAGAAAAAGTTCCTTCATTTTGTTAGATATATCCTTTCTTTCAATCATTCATTGCCAACAATGAACCAACACTGGCGCTCCTACGAGCAGATCTGTCCTTGTGAAGTGGACTATGATTTTATTGGACATTTCGAGAACTTAGGAGAGGAAGCGCCTCATTTGTTAAGAACGATAGGTGTGGATCACTATGTAACTTTTCCTGATTACCACCCGTCTCGCTCTAAGCCTTATCTTTTAGAATACTTCTCCCAGCTAAGCAAAGAGGAAATATTCAAACTTGGAAAGTTTTACGAGCTTGATTTTAAGCTTTTTGGCTATGATTTCCCTGGTCCAGTCAAGGAATTTGTGGACAAGAATGACTGAGAGCTTAAGGGTGCATGTACTGTTTTGAACATGATTGTATACACCGCGTACGAATCTTCCTCAACGACGGATAAAAACGATCACGATCAATCAAAATTAATAAAAATAATAAATTATTCACCAAAAGGACAATTGCAAGGACTGATCAAAAACGTTATTAGACTGTAGTTGCCACATTTCCACTATATAGTCTTCATCAGACCTGCTGATGATAAAGACTGGTATTGGCCAGTCAAAAAATCGTAACCACAGTCTTTTCACATTGTTTGACCAGTCCTTTCACGGTTGTCGTTTTGACAATAATTTAGACTAAGTATTAGCTCAGTTGATAAAACCAAATCTTTGTATCTCATTCACCCCCACCGAAGCCGCAACAGCTCAGTTTCTTAAGAAATTAAACCCCTTATTCACCTTATTAAATATATAGTGCGCTCTTTTAAAGCAAGGTAGTACGCGGTTAAGAGCATTCATGCACCCCCTTCCGCCTCCATCAATGCAATGTGACCTGGGTGTCAATCCAAGAGGCAAAGCCAGTTTTTGGTCCAAGTATGTTGCTGCTTATGACCCTTGCTCTGAGAATTATTCTCCGGGCACTCTGAATTTCCACTTTCTAATTAAATCAACATTTCTAACTTAACTTCCGAGAGACCTCTTTAGCTTCTATGTTTTGTTTTCCTGATGTAGGTCATGTGATATCGTGTAATACTGTACTCAAGAGAACTGTTTCTTTCAAATTTCGTCCTATTTACGTGCATATGTACACATGATGTTTGAAAAGGCAAAAGAGGCAAATTTCCCCAGAGCAATGGAAAACAAACCTTACAAGCTGATGAGGTCTATATGACCTGGGAAGTGGTAGTTGGAGAGAAAGTGTATAGACGTTCTACCATCAAAGTCATTCATTATTTACTTTACAGTCAGCCTACTCGGTGGTGTTCACAACTAGCAGAATAAACCTCGTTTTCCCCGTAACAGAGTAATAAAATAACAGAAAAATCTTTATTCTGCTTTTGTCGGTGTATATGGTTGATATTACAATATTACAGTCTACTTGAGGAACATATCAATACATAGAAGATTTATTATTAAAATTAAAGAAAATAATGTGCAAGTTAGGAAGCTAAATGAACCAGTTGGTTTTCTTTTCAGCCTCCTGAAAAATTTAGGTTCTAGGTAGCAAGGTAAATGATCAAAAGAAATACTAACTGTGAGAAAAAGACAAAGAAGGAAAAACTTATTTAATAGCATGTTGCTTCACCAGCAGGAAAAAAAATCTATTTCATTTGTTGTTCTGACAGTAGATCGTGACGTATAATTTTTTTCGGATATGCAGACGCACTTGAGTTTTTTAGCTGACCGTTTTCTTTAAAGTAAACTTTAAATATTGTACGCTATGTAAATTGTACACTAGATTTGCACTACAAACAAAAGAGCAGGAGATGTAGTTAAATGGCATAGTAAAAATGAGTCCCCACAGTTTTGCACGAAATAGGAGGAGCCCTAAGAACATCCACGTGGGAGGTTATCGCAATCGTAACCTCTCACGAATTCGTATGAGGCTATTTTCGCTCAATCATTAATGTTTTTTGTGATCATACCACTCATTAGACACTATGCAAGAAAGCTGCCATTGAATACATCTCGGCCCCCGCAGGAGACGCAGCAGAATATGCACAGCATTCCACACCTGATTACTGGGCTGCCTGTGCGGCCCAATCATACAATGGGTTTTCGGTCGTCTGCGGCGAAAAACGGCCTCCCGGGGGAGGGAAGACACGAGGGTCTGGTACCTAGAAACGATGTTCTCACAAATGGGTTCATATGAGTTTCTCTTGCACGGAGCCTTACACGGATACTTTTTGTACCTCGTTGATGTATAAAGTAGTGCCACAGGAAATGTAATTTTCAGTAGTTTTCATTTTTTTGTGATCAAATTGAACGACTTTTTCAGACTTTAAAGTGAACACATGTACAATTCGTACTGCAGCATTATAAGTGCCAGAGGAATGTACTACTGCCAATAGTCTTTGTTCGAATGCTAGCACATTGGAAACTCGACATAACGGGAGGGCCAAGGCACCGAGGTTTCGTTATATCGAGGTTCGTTTTCACTTATTGTACTATTAGTGGGGTGAGGAATATGATCGTACGTTAAACCGAGGACTTCGTTGTTTAAAGGTTCGTAATTTTAATCGAGGTTCCACTTTAACAGCAAATTAACTGGTAATAGTTGACACTACAGCTGCCCTCGCTCTGTCTATTGTCGGTCAATAGTATTCTTGCTCGTTGTGTAGCTCTTTGAAATATATTGATTCATAATGAAGATTCTCACACATATTCCATACAATAGGTGAGATAAATACAGGAAACGCAAGGTTCCATGCACATTATCAGTTCGGTTTACACAGCTTTGATCAAAACATTCTCAATTTCGAGAATAGTTTATTCTAAACCATAAGAAAGGATTTAATTAGAAGTTGAATTTTCCGCTATTTCTCTTTCACTTTTTACATTCGGTTTATTTTATTTCCCGGAAAGGAAGCCTTAGAAATTAAAAGGACGTTTGATCAATTCACGCTCGCGCATTCTAGTCTTATTTTAAACTTTATAGCAGAAGGACATCTGTGGGCTGGGAATAAGTCAGCACAGAATGTGATTGTCGGCGAATTTCTGTAATCGTCCATCGTTCTGCTAGTGAGAAGCTAACCGTTGTTCACTCGTCTTGCTTGTTTGGGGCTGAGCCTTATTCTGGTCAAAGAGAGAGAAAGAGTGACTGGCAAGGTTTCCATTCAAAGATTTGTGAACTCGTGCCGCTGGCAAACTCTCTAAGTGTTTATATATACACAGTTATACGCACCTTATGACTTCATCTGCGCTTAACGAGTGTCTTTTGGTCCATAACTTTCAAAACAACTGCTCCACAGAATGTCGCTGATAACACGTAACGCAAAAGAGTATCGAAGTATGACTGCACAATAACTGTCAGAAAATCTACCTAGGCGGTCCGTTCAGGATTTTCTGTCTTTACGTCATCCTAACCATTTCGTACTCGCGGGCGCAAACAATAGAAACGTCATCATTACCTACCGATTCCTCGCGGCCCCTGTTCAAGCAAAACGAGATTTTTTCTAGAATACTGACTGTATATTTCAGCTGTAAGTACTTTCCTTAATATACGCGCGAGTTACTAGAGTGCCTCCTCGGGGACAAAAACCCAGTTTTGTCTTTCGTGATATCTAAAGTGGAGATGATTTACTTAAACTAGAGACAAATTCCAGGTAAGTATGATAAAGAATTACTGAACTATCTTTTTAAATCCTGCGTCTTCATCCCGCAAATTCCTTAATCGCCTGACTTTCAAAATATATCAACACAAGTGAAATTGCCATGCAATATTTTAGACGAAATAAAGACAACTCAGTTAAAAAACCGCTTTTGAAGGGAGAGTAATAATCAATAGTTTCAGTGTGCTGAATGGGTCGTTTAAGGCTTGCGGTGATTTAACCGCGTAGGTCGCATGACTGAGAAACCTCTTTTCGAGAGTTTGTGGGAGCTTGCGGATGAGAAAATTCCTTCCTTATACTTATCCTATATCTTTAAATTTTCAAGCCGGACATACATGTAATTATTTTCCCTCTATTAAGATTGGCATATTTCTCCAGTGCTCAATTATATATTTCAAAGTTTATCTGCCCGTTTAACGAAAAGTCCTTTTAATTTAAAATGCTTTCGACGCAACGAAAATAGAAATACCAGTCATTAAATTCTTGAATTTCGTGACAAATTTTGACCACTAGTGCGTTGGGAAAGTCGGATTATAGAGCAGATTTCCTATTGAAGACTGGTGTAGCTTCAAGAATAGCAGTCCTTTGGTTCTTACATACTTGAAAAAATAAATTTTACTGTTGCAAAAAAATCGGATTATCCGTGTACTTACGTTTTGAACTCAGTCCAAAGAAGAGGCTTATCGCCTTGGTTGCTTCATAAAGATCGAGATCAAGGAAAATTTTATTGTGGCGTGCAAGCATAAACGTTTTAAGCATCGACTTTTCCCCCTCAGCTTAACGAAATGCTATTTTGCAACACAAGAAGTTTGCTTAGCACAAAAGGAGGATAATCATGAAATTTGGCTCAGTTGCAGATGCATTTTCAAGATTCAAGCGGGAACGGGATCTTCACTCTCTTGGTGACAACATCCTGACGAAAACATATGCTTTTCAAACATTAAAAATCCCCAGTAAGATTATATCTTGGTCATTTATATATTTTACAGTTCTTCTGCTAATAATATTAAGTTAGAGTTCACAGTTCTACTGGTTATGCTTGGGACATGTACCATTTTATCATAGAAAGAACTTTGATACCCTGTAAATGGCAGGAAATTTGAGAAAAGCTAAACCAATTAACAACTATATATTTCAATCGCTTTTATGTACAAGAACAGGATTATCCTAATTTTTTTCTAAAACCACTTATGGTCGTGTGTTTATCACCAGGTTATCAAGATTTTACATTGCATGTACCTTGATTTTGCCGAAAAAACGTGCAAGTAATAACGTTTTCTACAAAATGATGTTTAAGGGCCGGGTGCGCGTCCTTACCCCGCATCACGAAAAAATTTGACAACGATCCCAGTAGCGCATAATTTCTAGCTTGTAATTTAAAGTTGTGGAAACATTATAAAGAATATTATAGTAAGGCGTCATAGTGCCACCGAAATCTCGTTGGTTGACCTCTTCTTCCACTCAGTAACACTCACTTTTCTCAGTTTGGAATAGAGGTCTTTCCTCAAACTTCTTCCCTTCCACGGTTAAGAATTAGCAGAACCCTCCAACGTGATTTTATTAATAGGTCAGTCTTTTCAATTATACTTAACTGCTGTAAGTTTTAACCTGCTACTTTATCTTAGTCGAATTGTTTTCGGGAGCGTTAGTGTTTGTGGAAGCTTCTTTTAGTATTTATTTGTTTATTTATTTTCGTGAGCTTAAGCCTGAACGTCTTAATGGCTCGAAATCTATCGAGAGCCACGCAATACTATTCAAATATCCTTATTCCTTCAGTCTGAGTAAATACTCGGTACATGTTGCAGTTTTGTTTCCGATTTACCAGAGAAGCGCTACTTGGTTATATTGATTTGGAACAACTATAAATTAGTGCTAACGCGATTACGCTATCAGAACATGTCGATCACGTATGTAGGAGATTGCTTTAAATGCAGTCAACTTAGCTATTAAGTTTCGACTCCCCACGCAACAATCGCTACCGCTACAGTCTACTGCTTGAGGTGCACAAGTGGCTTATCAATTATAGAGACTAAGCCTTTGATGCCGGAAAATTATGATCTGAGAGGTCTTTCTACTGAACCGGAAACCGCCCAGTTTATAAATTCTCTGTGAGCATTTTACTCGTCCATAAAGCGATGCTAACAGTTCAATTAAGACTGACACTACAAATTGGTTCACTATAAAACGGCAACGAAATACCACATTAAAGGTAAGTTTACTATATTTTATACAAAACAGAATTCTTGGAGCTACGGTAAACTTCGAAGTGGAGATATTTCCCGCAAATTATCACCATAAACGGACAGCCAAGCTTGAAGCTTTCATTCTCGAATTCAGCATGCCGATACAACTTTTTAAGCCGGTGTCGAACATTTTGTTTATAGCCTCATTGCGTTTTGCAGTCAGTAATTATATTTAGTTGTAAAGCCCTTAAGAAAATTTGACAACTAAAGAGAAGTCACCGAACTCGCGTAAGAGGCAGTTGAAGGTTGATCTAAATTGTTACAATTCTGTTGGTAATCCACTATGTTGAGACCGTTTGTTCGCGAATGACTAAGTATTGAAGCCGTCACAACTGTAGTTTAAAGTGTTTATTCAGTCAGTGTTATCCCACTGACAACGTTCGGTGACAAGAAAAGAGGCATTATTATGGCTGCACGACAACTCAGCTAATTTTATGGAATAAGATGTTTTTCCCCCAATGTAATAAATTCGGCAACAAAGCTGAATTTCCTCGCCTGCTTTTTCCCAAAGCTCCGACAGTAAACTTGACGGGCAATTCTTTTCCTCTGACTCCTTTGAAACAACTACCGTTTTCCGTCTAACGTAACTTTCCCCTACGCCTTTCCGTCGTTTTGCACGGAAAGGTGGACAATTGAAAGAGACCAAGGATCATCTCGTTGCAAAGACATCGACATGTCGCTGCCGCCAAGTACGCAGAGGGGAAGTGAGGTAACTGAAACTAGTACAGGAATACAAAGAATTCTAGACCTTGTCACCAACTGATTCAAATACTGATTCCCTTGCATCTCAGTAGCTGTAACACGTAAAGGAAAGGTTCATTTATATGGCCCCCTTGCAAAATTTTGTGCCCGCGAAAGTGCCCATCCATGAAGTAAAACAAACTTTGCGCGGAGACACGTCATAGGAACAAATTCTACCCAAAATTTTAGTCGCACAAATTAAAATGTATAAGCACATAAGGTACGTGTTTCTGTCCTGTTAACATGAACCATAGTGTCTTTGAGATTAAGGAGCTTAAGGTAAATCTCATGGCACTCAGACAGTTTTGTATATCTGATGGTAGCTCAAGTGTCCTCCTTTTGCTGATTCACCATGATTATATTTACTTTGTGTTCACGTTTCACGACTTTAAGTTAAGGAACCGTTTCTAATGTGAATTTATATTTTGTTGATCAGGGATAAATTGACGTCCCTCTTTTAGTAGCTTAAATTGGGAGATGGACGCATAGATATTTCCGTTTTGAGGCACGTCTCCGCGGATCACTTACAGAATGAACGTGCTGAAATGATGTAGGAAGCTAGGACCAGCCGTTCTCTAAGTGTCTCCTCTTGCCTTGTTACTAGAGTGTATGTTAGAGTACGCTGTAAAAGGCAGTAACTGCCAAACACGCTATCGATCACATAACAAAGACCAAACAACTACTTAAGATCACCTCTCAGTAGCCAAGGTCAAGTCCTGATTTTTAACATAAATCTTTGATTGAATATGGTGGCAGCAAAAGCTAGCCTTAAAAGGTAATTCAGATTGTTATGTTATGTAACAAGTCGAATATTCGCATGATAATAGCTCTATCCAGTTATAAAGGGCACCTTACGTCTGAGCCTACAAAACATGCGGTTATTTACGACTAGAAGAAGGATCGAAGCAAATCAAGCAAGAAGCGTGAAGCCAATAATAATAATAACTTTTTCCATTTATATAATATTGCAACTCTTTTAAAACACATTTAGTAACGTCTTTTAACCTAAAGAAGGCGAAATATGGTTTGAAATCATTTTAAAGGGGCTGTGTCACGGTTGTGTAGTAGTTGCTCAGTAGTGCAAATATTCTCCAAATAGTAGACTTCCTCCTTCGAGTTTTCTTCTTTCTATGTTTTTAGCCAATAGTTCGCATATTTCTTCCTCGTGAAAGGAGTGAATTGTTGCCCCTTTTTGTACTCACTACCGAAAACAACTCAACCTCGACCCAGGTGTTCTCGGTTAACTGTTCAGTTTTCTGCAAATATGCTGCACAATGGACGTCATTTTTCACAAATCGCAAAATTCTTCTAAATTTGGTAGACGGTAACTGGCTATGACGAATCAAGTGTGGGATTTTAGCCAATGAATATTATTATTCATTCAAACTATTTCCCCAATTCTGGTTGGTTAAAAGGTGTAAAAGCACACGCATAATTCACCATAACCAGTTACTGATGACCAAATTTGGAAGAATTTTGTGAAATGGCGTCAAAAGATGCAGCCCTCTACAGGTTAATGCACCGTTAACCGAGAAGACCTCGGGACGAGGTTGAGTTGTTTTCGTTGTGAAAACTAAAATGGCGGACACTTCACTCGTTTCAAGAGTAAGAACTACAGCTGGAACTAGGCGAAATAATGGTTAAAAACATAGTAAAAACAGCAAGACAACTCCGAGGGCGACATTTGCTATTTGGAGAATATTTGCGGAGCTGGACAAACCTAAACGTACACTATGGAAGATAAACTTACAGTCAAACCAGGTCAAGCGTTCCCGTCGCTAGCAAACCAATGAATTCATTAACGGAAAAATGATTTCGTTTGTTGATTCAGTAATCCATTCATAAAACGAATAATCCAATAGTCAAATTGGACCTCGATTCAATAATTAGATTTTGATTTGGTTTATGAACAAAATCTACCTGTTCTTTATTCTTGTCTGTTGAGTTTAATCGTATTTGCGTCCCTTTTCTTGCCGTTTACGATTGCGTTTTTAATTGGCTTTAATAAAAAGAACAGCTAGAATAGACAGACCGCAAATGCAAAAAAACTGACAAAGGCCGAGGATCGAAATCCACCAATCACCGCACATACATTGACCTCAGTTTGACTATTGTGTTTTCTAAGAGGTCAGGTCCGTTGCAAACAGTTTGTTTGGGTGTGAACTTCAGAACTCGCCCGCACTCGACTCGAAGAAAAAAAGTGTAGTTTTTCAAAAAACAGTAATCGAATCAACATTCGATTATGGAATCGAGGCTAAATACGAATATTGGATCCTTCATTTTATGAATGGATTATTGAATCAACAAAAGAAATCATTTTTCCGTTAATGAATTCAGCGCCGTAGCTAGTATGAGGCCAACCGAGGCACTCGCCTCGGTAAAATTTTGACGAATTTCGCCGATCATTTTTATTTTACATAAGCAATCATCGGATATTTTTAACGCATCATGATATTACAAAGAATTCAGCAATTCAGTCAATATACTATGAAAANGGGGGGGGGGGGGGGCATGCCCCCGAACCCCCCTAGCAACTCCCGCCTGCCTCGGTTGGCCGTTTGGTCTGGCTACGGCACTGGAATTTATTAGTTCGTTAGCGAAGGGAACGCTTCACCTGGTTTGACTGTAACATCGATGCAGGTAAGCAAGTTTTAGCTATGTTTTTAAACTAGGAATTATTTTGAATGCCGGAATAATAAAGCGATTAATGAATTCGGCTTTCGTAGAATATGAAGAATTAAGCAGATCTGGAGGGTGTTATCCACCTCGGGCTTCAGCCTCGGTGGATAACACCCTCCTCGATCTGCTTAATTCGTCATATCTTACGAAAGCCGAATTCATTAGTATAGGTAATAGCATGATTTGTAGTGATATTTGGCATAAATACCACGAGTGATATTTCAAAATTGTTATACGAAATTTCACGAGCCGTTAGGCGAGTGAAATTTGAGACAATTTTGAAATATCACAAGTGGTATTTATGCCAAATATCACTACAAATCATGCTATTATTTGTTTATACTACTACCCACAAAAGGTTTGTAATTTTCACATGTAGGTATTTCAAATTAAGCTGAAATACCACTGCTCTAAGCCAATCAAATTGCAGAAATTTCTCATGTAGTAGTATAAATTGCTAAATAATGGGTAAAGCTTCCTTACGCGCTACCTAATGCGCAACGAAACGTAAGAAATTACTGATCATTACTCGCAGCCTCATGTCAAACAAATATGTCTCCCAAGCATTATAACCCGTTCAGTGGCGGATCCAGGGGAGGGCAGCCCCCCTTCCCTTATTTTTAGACCAAACTGAGCCCCGAAGGGCCCGAAAAAAATTTTTGGGAAGCTACCCCCCCCTCCCCTCCCCCTTACCTTATCTAAGGGTCTGGATGACCGCACTCCCCCACCCCTCCTTTATCTCAAGGTCTGGATCCGGCACTGGGGGTTTCAATATTCTTAGTCCACTTCGTCCATTCGTGCCTCCTTTTGTATTTGTATTTTATGTTTTTCTCAATTTAGTGGCATCTCTCACTGTTTACATTTTGACAAATCTCGTTGTTATCAGCTTAGGTTGCAGTAGTCTTAGTACTTCTCGTTTTTAGTAACATGGCCGGCCAAAATCTTAAACTTAAACTTAAGCCGTGTTACCATGGTAACCACACCTTTCCCCTTTTTCTTCAATAAAACTAGCAGTGTGTAGTCGCCAAACTTGTTTACACTTAGACGCATGCGCCACGCAAGCCGGTGAGCTCAACATCCTCACCTCGTTCTCGAGGTGTGTCGTTGGGAAATGACTCGGAGGGACCCAGGAAATGAGGTTGGCGATATGCGTCACATGCACGGACCGAGCTGTGACACTTTATCATACCTCAGGGAGAAGAGCATAAAGCAATAGGTTTAAGATAGCAAACCATTATCGCATTTCTTTGCCGTCGTTGGACGACTAGGACTAGAAACTTCCTCACCTTTTATGAAGGACGTGAGCTTAAGAAATCTATTTTTTCTTCTTTTCTTAACTTACATACAGTCATTTGGAATCCAACGCCATGGCCAGAAACGATCACCGACATTTGATAATTCGAACGAGTTGGAATAAGAGCGAAGAAATTTGAAACAGCGCGATTTCACTTTCCGAGTGACGATTTCGTGGCCTTAGCTGTCGTGTCTTTTTTTTGTTGTTTTTTTTTTGTTGTTGTCTTTTTTTTTATGCACCTGCAGACTTGCGGCGTAAAAATTGCTTTTTTGTCGTTCTCTTTGCCTTTGCCGTCGTGTAATTACCATCGTTACTGGTGAATAATGCCACATTGGCACAAATAGAAGGGAATGAGATCTCTTTATGAGTAGCAATATTCGAGCAAGTCATGAACGCTGAAATGATGGCCGCTTCTAAAGATTTAGACCGGAATTTTCTTACGCAAAACAAGAGCAGACTTTGAGTAAAAACTCTCTTCTAAAAAATACTTTTATGCAGCAGAGTGGAAACCACAGAGTACCCTTTGGTATCGATGACTGCAGTTTTCTTTTCATTCGAGGCATTGCAAGAATTTGGCATTACCTGTTTTTTGTCTATCGCCATGGTAGAGGAAAGGATTTTATTCGTTCCGTGGGTCTGGGTTGATGGGTTGTTGGCTCCAACAAACACTCTGATTATTTTTCCTTTATAAATTGCTCCAAAGTACATTACCAAGGATCTCAGTGTTCCGATGAACTAAGTGCTTGAACTAACAGAACTGCCAGCTGATTAAGCATCCAAAAGGATCATGGTATATAAATAATCTCCGGTAAGAGCAGGACATCAGGCCGTGAAAAGATGAAAAAAAAAAAAATTATTATTTTAAAACAATGATTAAAGTAAATATAGATCAATGTTCAGCCGCCGAACTATTAATACCATACAAATGCCAGTAACAAAGCCCAGCTAAGACATTTTTAATTACTGGCTAAATAGCTCAAAACTACTAGTTGAGATGGAAAAGTAACTGTTTGTCAAGTCGGAAGTCAAGTGCAATTTGGCCTTTAAGAAGAACCTGGCTTATGTCATGTATTATATATCATCTCCACTCATTGTCAGCTACTCACACATGTTAAGTTTTTGTAGTTCCAGACCAAGCCTTATAAGTTCAAAACGCCGCGGTTCAAAACAAGTAATGGGCGAAGTTCCAGTATTTATCTTTTATTTAAAAGAAAAGGGTTCATAATGCTGTTTGTTGATCAGTATTTTTTGAAAGGTGATCATTAATGAAAACAGGTCAGTTTTCCGAACTCGCCAGAGGGATTTCTAAAAAAATAGGCATGTCTTTATTGTGGAATTTATCAGGCTAAATACTAAATTTTATTTTGTTTGTTTAGAGGCGAAATTACCTTCCTAATTGTAAAGAAGAAGAATCATGTTGAACTCCTTATTTAATAAGCACCGCTTTGTCAGCAAATTTAGTACGTGCTATGAAGATCTGACAGAATTTTTCGAATCAGTGGAATAGAAACTAGCACCCCAACCTTATCGCTTCTCACGCTAAACGGTAGTTCTCTATGACTTAGGCCCAGCAGGGAACCCAGTAGGAAAGCAATAAACTGAACTTTAAAGGTCAAGCAAACGTTTCAAGTTAACTAAGTTATTTGGGGACTGAA